CGACGACACTATATATATATATATATATATATATATATATATATATATATATATATATATATATATATGCGAAGGTAAACATTATGCATTTGCTTTAAAAATTTTACTTTTCTAGTTAACTATAATTTCGTAGGAAATATTCATATTAACAAACCAAGGCTCGATAAAAAAAACGAGAATTACAAAACATACCACGTCTACGCTACACCAGCAATGGGTATCTCAGCATTTCATAATTTAGAAAGTGCTCAGGGAGAGCCGGAAATGGTCTTTCTGTCCTATTTCTTTGCATCAAAGCAACTTTATTTCTATTTCAGTTAATAGGTCTTTCACTTTAGAATAGTACGCCCATTTTTAACCCTTTATTTGCGTAGTTGACATCAATCCTTGGTCTGTTCCATACTCATATAATGTCGTTTTCATTGACATACATATCGAAGTAACCATAGGTACCTATATAACAAGTCAGCAAATAACAATCCACGTCAAAAAAGACCATTAGAGCTATATATCACTCTCATAATCAATGTGAAGTTGAAATTGAAAGTAGCAGTGTTGGATATTCTTTTGTTGGCATTTCTGCAAGCAATCCTCCAAAACGCGGATAATATTGGAAATACACTTGCAGCAAGATGGTTTAAAGTGTTGAGAAGAAGCATATTTGCATCTGATTTGTTTGCATGGGGGTCACACACATAACTGTTAAGGTATCAGTCTTCCGTATTCCCTAATATGGGATCTTCAGACTAGATAATTAAAACTATCGGACGTATAATTAATTCTACTTTAGAGTATTATTACCCACAGTGCTGCTTCCTCGAGGTTTGCAATTTCCCATCAGAACGTTATAATTAGCATAGGCGAGAGATTTCGCGATCAATAGACACTGGCAAAGAAATCCAGGTAATTTTCCTTCTAATGGACTGATTTGTGCTGGTACCGAGGCACCTCGCATGCAGGCGGGTGAAGGGGCCAGGTCTGGGGGGACCTTCACTTGGCAGGAGACGGTTGAGATCTTTACAATCTCACCGCCTTCAACAGTTGACATCCGCGCAGGCAGATGAAAGTTTAATGAGCCTAACGACGAGCGTACGCAATCGTTCCTCTGAGTGGTACCAATTATACCGGCCTCAGTCCCTCAGCGACCAATTTAGACCTACACACTGTCCGATGTCTTGTTAGTCTTTGAGTAATGGACCCCAACTTTCCATATCTTCGAGTAGACTTCACAGTCCTTCCGACAATGTTGGTTCATAACATGGCATCTATCAACATGGTAAAGATTGCAAACAGACAACAGATTTCCATTTGTCTTTTGAATCAAGAGTGCACTTCGTCTTTCAGACAGAAAGCATGCTTTTGATCAAGAGAACATCGATCTACATCAGCAAAGTGGCCTTTCAAAGAACATCAAGCAACTGGTTGATAAATGCACCGTTCGCTACCGGGAAGATGGCACTATCTACCCGCTACTTAAACCTGCAAATGGTCCTTTCTAACTCCGTACGGAACTTGTTGCCGCGAGACGCTGGAAGAATAATGCCCGATCGGCTATCAGAGAAGCAACTGCAAAGCGCTTCCAGAGTGATTTGCTAGGAGCGACTTTATCATGATGGGGAGGGTAGCACTTACCGAAGCTATCAAGCGCTAATGGACCGACCGTGCCTGTCACAAAATAGCTACTCCAGCGATGATTGAGTTTTGAGTTCCCGCCAGGAACGAGAATAAGTGGCAGGTAAGCCCTTCGATGGGGGAGCACTTTTGCTCACATCAGCGGATCGCATGGAGGCCATTTATCGCGCTGCGGTATTCTGCTGCTGTTGTATCCAGAACCGTCACCGCTTTATCCAGAACCGTGCTTTATCCAGAACCGTCACGGCTTTATCCAGAACCGCCCTTTATCAAGAACCACCCTTTATCCAGAACCGCCCTTTATCCAGAACCGTGCTTTATCCAGAACCGCGCTTTATCCAGAACCGTGCTATATCCAGAACCATGGATAGTCCACGCGTATCCAGAAATGTGCGTTAGGCGAATCTATATTCTTGCAATGGATACAAGGATACTATCCAGAAACGTGCATTTTGTTTGCCATATATTTTGACGCTAATAAACTCAAAATACAAATTCAATTTTCTTATGTCCAGCGGACAAATTTTGTAGCCTCTACCCAGTGGCTCTCCATGGTGTTGGACTCCAGGATGACAAAGGGTCAAATAAACCGAATAGTATGCCAGAGGAGTAAACCGGCAAAAGGAGTACAGTTTGGAACCTATAGCTAGGTTGATAAAATTCCCATAAGTTAAAATCTACACTGTACATGTAACCTTCGATGTATGCACGGCACTTGATAAAACCAATTGGTGCAATGACTGTGACAACCGCTGTGTGCCGCTTCCGAACGATTCCTGGCTCCAAACATGGGTTTATCTTTCTATATTCTTTATGAAAAGTAGAATTTTCAAGCCTTTAAAAACTTAATTTCCTGCATTTTAAATTTGAGAGTGGTTGTCGGTCTTTCGGATGTTTTCATATTTTTACCCAAGATTTTTTATTGTGTCTGTCAAGTTGACGGATTGGTTTTTTTTTTTTTTTAATTCCGTCACATAATTTCCGCAAAGTTCCGGTAAACTGGTGCAAGATAAAAGTTAAAACCAAACCCCCTTGATATCAGCTTGATATCAGTAAGCTGCAACAAACGTCTCAAATGTATAGAGCATTTCACTATTATCATCCATGTACTGAAGATCTTTTTGTCCGATCCCAGAATCTGACTGCGATCGTACTTTCCATACTTTGAATACCAAATGAAAAACAGGTGTCTTTAGTATCCCCCCTAGGAATTCAATGGACGAGTCCGCCACATGCATTTCCGGGTCAGAGTGCGCACATGTGGTGCAAACCCTGACTTGTTCCACCGGCCGGTTTTCTGGAAAATTAGCCTAATTCTGAAGATTTCTAAAAGACCTGAAGTTGTAGGGTGTATGCTGAAGACTTGAAAGATGAGGTAAGGGTGGACGGTAATGTTGCTTTGCTTATAATCATTGATTTAGTATATGGTTTTCGTGGAGTGGGGAGGGGGGCAACTAGCCGCTAGCCGTGGCGACTTCAGGAAGACACTCATAATGCATATACTGGCTTCCTATATAATGTTACATAGAAATTCGTAAAAGCGGCTTCCATAGTTGCCACGGCTTTATGGCAGCACGATAATAAAATGGTTCGTTGATAAGGTGGGATAATTATTTATGAAGTTATCGAATGCTCAAAAATTATATCTTGAAACACTTGAAAATCGCGGCACAGCTGTTGCACTTCATATAGCTCTTACTACTTAATACTAGTACTAGTTACGTTCTAACTGCATGGCATCTATTTTCCCTAATCGACTTGAGGCAATCCCAAAGGGGGCTCAAAGTGCTCAGTTGGAGGGCCATTTTTCATGTGTGTTAACCTGAAGTTAGTCCAGATAGCCTCAGGTCAGCTTGCAGAGTAGTATACTGCAGATGTTTCTAATCATTCTGCTGCTCCAATGCACATGTAAATAGAAGCCTTATCAGCTCCTCAGCACTCTAGTAAGTTGACTCAAAGTAGCCTTAGAAAGTTGACTCAAAGTTAGCCTCAGAAAGTGTGTGTAAAGCGGGCTGATTTCCCCCCAGTGAGACGTCAGGGACCAGCCGAGTCCTGGCTCAGCTGAAGAGTGAGGCGGGAGAGGTTCTCGGCGCGCCCTTTGACCTTCCCCTGGACATCACGCCGGAGAAACTACAGCTGGTGTGCCATGCCCTGCTGGAGAAGGTACGGGAATGTTGGACTGGTTTGTTCATTACAATTTACAGTTTACTGCTACTAGTACAGTTTTACAGATTGAACTGTAAAATGACAGACGTTGTACCCTTGGGAAAGGCACTTAACATGTATTTCCCCCTCAGTTAGAGGGATCCTGGGCCCTACTAGGGTTTGGGTTGGCATTAGGAAAGGTATATACGTATCCAGCCATAAAAAGAATCTTGCTTCAAAAAAGACTTGATGCAAGCACATCTAACCCCAAGACTCACAGCAAGAGGTACATGTACAACAAGCTGAATTGCACTGATTTGTACAATCATATGTGGCAGAACATCAACTTCTATACAAAAAGAAAACTCAGGCAATGCTATACACAATGCCCAATGATGGGCATAAAGTGCTAGTAACAAAATGCATGTTACATTATGTCATTTGCATAATTGGTACCCTGAGAAGCTGACTGGAAGTCAGTGAAAACTTGCAAATGTAGTCATGCCAACTTTTGTCCCAACAGTCTACCTTATGCATTCATCTTGCATAACCAGTTCATTTAAGTAATTTTTTCCACTGATTTCTATAATGAAATATTCTAACACAGGAAGAGACCACGCCATATGCATTCTTCGTCAATGACCGAGAAATCGTCTCGGACCTCCAAGATGTGGTTGAGAAGGAGAAGTTAGGCACAGAGCAGGTCTTAGACATTATCTACCAGCCTCAGGCTGTCTTCAAGGTGCGAGCAGTGACCAGGTGCACCAGTACCATCGAGGGTCACTCTGAGGCTGTCATCTCAGTAGCATTCAGTCCTAGTGGCAGGTGGGTTTTATGTGTTTTTTTACCCATCAATTTTGTGAGGGGAATATTTCTTGCAACAATGTTAGGCTGTGGGTTTGTGTGTCATAGTGGTAGCGTGTTCGGCTCAGGACCAAGAGGGTCAGAGATGGTCACACAAAATGAATAATACAGGTAATTTGGAGCCTCATGATATATGTAAACACTGGTAAGTTTCTATATGTACTGTAAAGTTTTGTGTGCTTCCATACTCACTCCTGTAGATTTTTGGCCAGTGGTTCAGGAGACACAACTGTTAGATTCTGGGATATCTACACAGAGACACCAAAGCACACATGTAAAGGTAGGGGTTCATTTTCGTTGTGCCTTTTCCATTATTCAATCATTATGTTGATGTTATACATACTACAACTACTTACTTTACAATACAATGCATACTTCTAGACAAGTGCAGGTATCATACAGTTTGTACTATATTGTAAGGTACATGTACTATTTACAAATATCTGACGAGTGTTGTCTTCCAAACCAAGCTAAGTTTGCTGTATTGTTTAACAAATACAGTTTGTATATTTCTTAATTTCAGGTCACTCTCACTGGATCCTAGCATTAGCTTGGGCACCTGATGGCAAAAAATTGGCATCTGGGTGTAAAAATGCACAGGTGAGGAAGTTCTTCTACAGTGCAGCAGCGTCTCCATGTGGAATGCTGTGGTATTGCAGGATGTAAACTGTATATGCATGACTGAGAAGAATGGGAAATTGAGAGGTTTGCTTTTTGTGTGCTGCAACAGGCATTTAACTTATGTGTAGTTCACAATCATTAAAACTTAGTAAAATCACACTGTACTGTGTTTAACCAATGATTTTATGACTTTTGGAATGTATCACAAGTTCACACACATGTGTCTTAACGTTACAGATATGCAATCTATCTTCCACTTACAGATATGTATATGGGATCCAGCCACAGGGAAACAGGTGGGGAAAATGTTAACAGGACACAAACAGTGGATAACCTTTCTCTCATGGGAACCATTACACAGGTAAGAAAACAAGTGTTTAATGTCAACTAGACTAACATGCATGCGTGCATCAGAAAATCTTGAGACTTTCAAAGACATATAATATGTGAGAAACTGAAAAAAAACAAGGATGCAAGGAATGCGCCTGTTGGATGTGGTGAGAGTCTTTATTAAATGTTTTTTTTTTCTTTTCTGGTGTTTCAGTAACCCAGAGTGCAGACGTCTGGCAAGTGCATCAAAGGTTTGTCTTTAAAATCTGTTCTTAATTTATTCCTTTACATTTATTAGCATCTTGCAAGTAGAAAAAGGTATTAAGTACTTTCAGCCCACACGGGCTGGGCGTGGGAAAGTGCATGACACGAAAATAAAGTTTCATTCATTCAGTGACTTGTTGATTTTATATAAGGCCATGATTGAAGAACATAGGATGTTGTATTGGGACAACTTCTTTGTCAGTCACGCATGTACAATTTACATCCTGCAATACCAGAGCACACCACACAGAGGTACTGCTGCACTGTACAAAACTCTCTCAGCTGAACATTTTGAAGTCAACATCTTTATTGTACTTTGTAGGATGGCACAGTGAGAATATGGGACGTGGTGTTGGGTAGGACGTTGCTGAGTCTGACAGGACACCTCCAGAGTGTGACGTGTGTGAAGTGGGGAGGGGAGGGACTGATCTACACAGCCTCTCAGGACAGAACCATCAAGGTCTGGAGACCTGACGACGTGAGTAGAGGTTCAGGCAACCTTTCTTTCATTCTTACATTCAACGCACTTGTAATCCTCGTTGTTTGTCTAACATTTATACTCAAATGTATGTATATTGGCTCACAGACACAAGTCTGTTATAAGCTATTATCATTACATTCTGATGACATCCTCTTTAATCATGCTCTTCCTGATGGTAAATGATAATCCATGGTTGCCAAGTACAGTAGGGGTATTCCCGTACCTTTATACAATGCCAAGAGTAAGTGCAAAATTTATGTGTGACACTTTTCTCAGTGTGATGTAACCAGTTGGGGTGGGTATACAAGCAAGACAGAATACACAGATTACAGATGCAAATAAAGAAAAGTCATTATAAAAGTCACAGCCATCTTCTAGTCAGTCTTTTTGATATTGGAATTATGGAGTTTTTAAGTAATCCAACTTACTCTGCCTGTTGATGTCCCTGTGTCAGGGTGTGTTGTGTAGAACACTGCAGGGTCATGGACACTGGGTGAACACCATGGCCCTCAGTACAGACTACGCCATACGCACAGGCGCATACGACCCGGCAAAGGCCTCCATCGTACACAGGGATACACCTGAACCAGGTCAGCAGGAAATGTACAGGACATCCTTGTTACTGTCATTTTCACAAATCTGTTTAAGGGAAATGTCTTGAAGTTTGTAAAAGTTTAGCCTGGGTGTCATCCTACATGTATAAATGTATTTGTACATTGTATACTGGGATTCCATACTCCCTCCTTGAAAAAGTAGGGATTATTTTGAAGGAGTGAGTATGGAAGCCCTGGTATACAAATACAATGGCACCCAGGCTAGTAAAGGTTATGGCAAGAATTAAGATAGTATGAACTCAGACAACTTCGATAATTGACCACTATCAATTTTTTTCAGCTGAAGAAGTAAAGAAGAGGGCTTTAGAAAGATATGACTCTGCAAAGGTTTGTACTAGTACATTTCATCAGTGACTAAATAACAGATGTGTAGTAGATGCTAATTTGAAATGTCTGACAGTTTTCAAAATTTATCCAGTTGCTAGATTAACAGTTTTGTTGTGTAAAACAATAGCTTGATTTGAACTTTGACCCATTTTCTCACAGGGTACAGGGTCAGAAAGGCTGGTGTCAGGCTCGGATGACTTCACCCTGTTCCTATGGCAACCGTCTGTGGATAAGAAGTCGTTAGCGCGTATGACGGGCCACATGGCACTGATTAACGAGGTGTGCTTCTCTCCTGATGCACGTATCATCGCCAGTGCCTCCTTCGACAAGTCTGTCAAGCTGTGGGACGGAAAAACTGGGAAGTGAGTGAAGGGTTTTATCTACAGAAAAGAATATATAGTAGCATTAAAGTTCATCTTTGTTGGAAAAAACATTATGAGAACCTCTGTAAATAATTTCATCAGATTGGAGAATGATTGAGTTGCAAAGTTCTTTATTTACTTGCTTAACTAGACCATCTGTCATCTTCATTAGAGCAATTTTGACCAGTAGTGAACCAGCCATAACTGCCCTGATGAAGATTGCATCCAAAGGGTCGTTATGCTGGCTATACAAACACAGATCCCAGTGTGTTAACCAACGGGCCATAATATACTGTCTACAAATGTATACAGATACAGATACAAGATGGGTGTACTAATGTGCAATGTTATCTCTGTTGCAGGTACCTAACATCACTGCGTGGGCATGTCAATGCTGTTTATCAGGTAACACTGGTCGCATCAATTTTGGAAAGTCACAAGGCATTTGGAAACTCAAGTAAAAATTGATTTTCAACATTCAAGTTTCACATCAGTGTGTAGCTCTTGGTGTAATGAGCACAGTGATATGAAAATTATTGTTCTGCAGTGTTCATAACTTAAGATATCATTAATAATAAATACAAGCAGACCAGTGGTCTTTTCTAACAGCCCGTCAGGCCTAACAACTAGCCCGCAAGTTTTAATTACAGGACCTTCGGTCTAAAGGCACTTAGACTACAGGTCTAGATCCCCAGACCGCGGCCTGATTTACTCAAAAACCATTCAGACCGTCAGCCTAACTTCAGCCCGCGGGCTGAAAATTCTGGTCAAAGAGGTGCAAAAATCCCAAAACAATGGCATGGAAGGCGTGAATTGATTGATGTTTGCAGACTGTCTGTGCCAATTTCAGCCTGGTGGAGTAAGGATTCAGACCTCACGGACTACATCTCAGCCCGCGGTCTAAACCAAGTGATGTGTAAAACTTCATTCTCAGAGCAGAAAATAAGGAAGGAGAGCATAATCCACATCCATCTGTTAACAGTGTTGTACATTTTTGCCACTTTCAACCTCACTCACTCACTCATTCACTCAGCTTCGCATGATCTTTCAACTAGGCCACAAAAAAGAAAGAATAGCTTACAAACACGTTCTGTACCAGCTAGGGGTAGAAAATGAAACAATTGTTTCTCATGAGCATCCTGACTGTCATTGAAGTTCAGTTCAGTTCAGTTGAAACATTGGGGAAATTATGTTACAGACAGTTTTGCCGGACAAAATTCTAGTATATCAGCCGAGTATATTAAGCAAGAAGCCTTAATACATGTATTGCAACTTAAACCTGCTTTCAAAGCAATGTAGTTATAAAATCCTCAGTCCATTTCTGTTCAACCATGGTTCAACAGTTCTCAGGTAATTATTCTGATCAAGGAACAATTGTTATGCGGGATGAAACTAAGTTTAGCTATTGTTCTTGACATGCAAATGCCACTGTCAAATTATCAAGTTGGACTATTGTTGAGTTACACGTCGAATTACAGTACCCCTATCTGGGCAGCTTGTACTGGGTCACCCAGTAGGAGCCTGAAAAGATGTCCAACTATCTTAAAAAATAAAACTAGGATTCTCATCATTAATTTCTTGTTAATAATCTAAATCTAATCTAATCTAATCTAATCATAGATACTAAAAAACCAATTGTGGGATAGAAAGATTTGGCCAAGACATGGTTCTCACCATGTGAACCCACTGCCATCTGACACTGTCATTACAATGTCCTAAGGTTTTCTGATAGGATATTTTTTCGGGCTATTGAGCTACCCAGTGCAAGCTACAAAGACCATGTCACCCATGTCAGGGTAGCCCGACCAGACTCTCTAATTTGATAATTGGACAGGTATGAATGATAACATGCATGGAAATTCATTTTGAAAATTTTCTTCCTGCAGGAAATTTCTGGAAAAACCTACTAAGACATTGTAGATTCCTGCAGATAGAATCCTTCCTAGAAATCTCACAGGAATTTTTGCAGGAATGACTGTATAATAAATATATACAACTGTTAGGCCACACCAATATAATGTAGTCTCCACCAGACTCCTTCGCAGGCTGAATAAATAGTAGCAATCGGCTAAGGGGAACATCATTGGCCAGAGGAGTTGGCCGGCCATAGAGACAAAATATAATGCCATTACTTGTTCCTCAGACTCATTCACTTGAAGAAGAATCCTGTTCTATAAAATTGCAACATTACATCAATATTCTCTCAAGGTCACCTTAGTAATTGATCAATGATCATCTGATTTTTTGTATGTCAACTCAATGAATGTTTTTGCTTCCCCTTTCTCCAGTTGTAAACATGTCTAACATTGATCAGAATCTGACTAGAGAGTTGTTGCTTGGAAGTTAGAACTTGTTAATTTTATCATAATCACCTCCCCTCCCCTTTTGTCACCCATTTTTAAAGAAACTGTGTTCTTTGTGTCTAGGGGATAACAAGCCTTCACATTGTAATTCATTAGGCTTATTGAGGGATGTCTATTATCACTCTATGGTGACATTTCCTTGGGCAAATGTTGGCCCTCCAGGAGCCAAGGAGCTAGCCTGGCAGCAGTCTGGTACCCATTTAACAGTGGGGGGTTTATAGGCGCTACAGCTCGCCCCTGTTTCTTACACCCAGGCTACCTGGTCTGCTATTATACATGTACATCCTGCGCTGTACAAGCATTTTACGTTCTGTTCCTAAATTTTTGGGAAACATTCAAACAGAATGAACAGCTCTTTTCATATCTATTTGAGGTGTTTCACAAATATTGTAACAATTAGAAAATTTTCTATTTTTTTTAAATTATACTTTTGAAATTATCTAGAAACATGGTGGTTTTTTTATTTCGAAATGGTTACAATTTGTAATGTGGAATATAGCCATATAGAATTGACTCTAGGCCTTGGGCAAGCACTTCCAATTAAATTGTAATTTAGACCAAGGACATTATACACAGTGTGTATAATGTCCTTGTTTAGACTTATTACAAATCCTGTAAAGATTCTCATCATTAATTTTTTGTTAATAATCTAAATCTAATCTAATCATCATAATGATACTACAAACTAGTTGTGGGATAGAAAGATTTGGCCAAGACATGGTTCTCACCGTGTGAACCCAGGCCATCTGACACTGTCATTCAATGTCATGAGATTTTCTGATAGGATATTTTTTGGGGCTATTGAGCTACCCAGTGCAAGCTACAAAGACCATGTCACCCGTGTCAGGGTAGCCCGACCAGACTCTCTAATTTGATAATTGGAAAGTGGTCATTTGCATGCCTGGAACAATAGGTGACCAGAGGTATGACCTGCATAACAAAGGTGCAGGAACAGAATAATTACAAAAGAAAATGTAACAATAATTTCCTAAAGCATTGTACAACTCCTTGCACTGAAAGCAAGTTCATGTTGCAAATTGAGGATCCTTGCTTTTTATGTTTTCAGTGTACATCGGCTGAGGCTTATACATGGCAGGATTATGGCACTAAAACTCCAAATATTTTCCTTTTAATTATAAATGTTTCCATGGAGTTGTTGTTTATCTGTTAACCATGTCCATTCATCTTGTTTTGTTGTGACCTGTACTTAGCCAAGTGTGGCAGAAATGTGCAATAAAGGTCTTCATTCTTAAAAAAAAAAATTTCTACCCCCATGATGTTTCAAAGGGATTTTGGCAGGGGAGTTGCCATAGTAGGACAGATTGGACTATACCTGCCAAACCGAAACTGTTAAGTGACCATAAAGTGTCCTCAAAAGTTGGCTTCCAACACCACATACCAATCAGGTCTAATATGAAGTGTTCTTGCTGAGACAAGGGTCTTTTATGATGCTATCTTTTTAGCAATGTTACATCCCGCCCAGGTATCAGCCCAGGTAGCACAACAGCCTGAACAGGAGCAAAATCCACCTCCTCAAACAGAAAATTTTCAAAATGAATATTCATGAAACTAATTGAAAGTTATCATCATTCATACCAGTACATCATACTTGTCAATAATATGCAATCACTTATTTTAAATGCTTTGATATTGAAAATATTAGCTGAAAATGTGATGGGTGTTTATTAATATGAAGTGATAAACTATGTGTAAACCATCATCAATCTGGAAGCATATTTTTGTTTCCCATTTTCTGTTTGGTGTTTTTAAAGTCTGAAGGTCCTCTATCATAAGGCCTAATCATCAGCCCAGCCTGTCCACAGACCGACAGGCCTGTTCAGGCCCGCGGGCTAGCCATTGAGCCCAGACCTCTCATGAATTTATCACAAACTTGTTAATTACACAGGTGTGAAGATGTGAATTCTCATTAATTCAGTGGTTTTCATGGGGTGTTCATGAGGCTAATTGGATGCGGTCTGGATGTGGGCTGGCTAACTCAGACCGCGGGCTAAAATTTAGGACTGCCAGGCTAAGCTGTTGAGCCTGACGGTGTGTGTTCTAGACCGCCAGGCTTGCAATTTTTAAAGTCAAATATCTTGATAAATTTATACATTATGACCATAAAAAAGCAACCTAGTACTGAAGATAGCATGATCTTCCCAATGGTATGCAAAAGTTCACTGTACATCCAGGAATAACAAAGTTGAAAATCAGGGGTTTCAACATAGCTGTCTCGAAATTCGGAAAGTGACATTCCAAAATTGAGGTGACCAGTGTTAGGTGTGTTGTCATTCCTTACATCAATGCCAGGGGGCACTATCAGACATCCATACCCCAGGTACTTAGTACATGCACAAAAGGAAGCCTTATATAAGTTGGGATGATTTCATGATGTATTCCCATTTGTTAAAATCACAGTTAGGCCCACAATGACTTGATTATATGGATGACATCTGTGTGTGCATCAGTTTTCATCCATTTCCAATAAAGAAGTTTGGGATACATACATGTACTGAGTCCCATCCATGCTGTGTACCAGTGCTACCCTCTTCAGTTATGCGTCACTGCAAGCAATCACTACTACAGTAACTACATAATTGTGTAGTTACTCCTGACTTTTGTACTCAATAGATTAAGGACTTGACTTTAGCAATTATGATAAGATCTAACAGCCTCTTTTATTAGGTCCCAAGTTATTAAAATCTGATAACGTACAGTGATGATGACATTATAATGAGCTACTGATTGCAAAAGTACCTTACCCTAATCTTACTTAAGCTATTCTGTCAGATAATGTTAAATGATTGTGTTGTATAATAAAAGGCAACACGGGTATCAAGGTCAAGTACATTTGTTTTGAAATTATTGTTTTTGTAATTTGACTCAACAAATTTAACAGCCATATTCGATTGATGGATTAATTGCTTGATTGATTGATTCCCAGGTTGCGTGGTCAGCTGACAGTCGACTGCTGGTCAGTGGAAGCTCGGACAGCACGTTGAAGGTTTGGGACGTTCGAACTCGCAAACTGGCTGTGGACCTGCCTGGACATGCTGATGAGGTTAGTCTGATGCCGTCACATTTTTGGATTTTCTTCAGCAAACAAATGTACTTCAAGAAGTACTTCACTGAAAAATGATCAGAAAATAGTTCTTGGTGGGAAAATTTAGGCACAAAGGTACTATACACGTAGCCATGTCTTGTTTTCACTTGAATGAATATTCTTCCCTGAAAACATATTTTCTATCTATGTTAATGCCTGTATTGAACATTATCCTGGCCCAGCCTTGGCATAAATGTAGGTACTTGGTGGAAAAAAAAACAGCTCTAAACTGCTATGAGCTAAATAAAGAAACAGAAATGACTACTGTACTGTTGCTGCAGGTATTTGCGGTAGACTGGAGTCCTGATGGCCAGCGGGTGGCCAGTGGAGGCAGAGACAGGGTTCTCAAGATGTACGTACATATGCTTTGTTCTATGAAAGTGAAGTATCCCTTGTTTCTTCAAATCTGCAGTAAGGTGCTTTCTTATGTTTACCTTTGCAGAAGTAGAACATTGTTTTTGCGCTGTTTCTTCTTCCTCCTCTTCTTCTTCTCCAAACAAATAAGGTCAATGACGTGAACCAGATGTCCGTCACCATGGGAACTAGTGTTGGGTTACATCATGTTGCAATTTTATAGCAGGAGGGATTTAGACTCCTCTCACCATATATATGAATGTTTTTGATTAAAAGAGCAGACCATATGCAAAGATAAACATTATGCATCGCTTTGCAAATGTTACCTTTCTAGATACATGTTCTATTTTGTCTGATGCTGACCTTTTCCCTGATGACCTCAATGAAATATGGGCAGCAGGCCAATTTGAGTATTCCATTATTAAACAAAGGATTAAACAAGAAGTTTCTTGTTGATACATTTGCAAGGATATTGACTCATGACTAGTTCCAAGGTCCCCAAACAGAATTCCATGGCCAGTGAGGAAAGTTGTATCAAGTGCATTCTAGCCAGGAATGAAGGTGGTAACCTCTCAATCTCATAGCTGCTAGCATAGCAACTCAGCCATTTTATAACATTCAAAGCTTTATACAAACTGATAATTTAGTTGTTTCTGGATGAAGACTTGCATGTTTCCTCACCTATTTCTGGCAACAGGCCAACAGTGAATGATTTCGCAAAACTTAAGAAGCCAATTTTCAAACCACACTTTTTTTCTTTTTATTGTTACTTTATATTAGAAGGAACAGTTATAGTCCAGTTGGGCATTTGAATCACCAGTTTTATATCGCAGATGGCAGAGGGCAATATCCAAGAATATCACATCCCTGCCTACTAATGGTGGAAATGTGTTTTTTACGGAGGGAAATTACCTTCTTGGAGCCATTCCAAAGTTCACTCTACAGTGTGGTGGAAATGTCAGATGCACCTTACTTTATAGCTTAATAGCTCAGCCACTGTGTCTACAGTATTAACAACAGCGTGAGAAATGAGAAAATAGTTGTAGGTGTATGACAGTGACCAATGGATTTAGAATAGCCTGAAACTTTGTCCGTAAAACTTTTCTCGACTCATGTAACTTTCTCACTGATGTTTTTAAGTTAGGGCTCAAAGACCCACCTGCATATGCAGGTACATGTAAGTGCAGGTAAGATTGGAGATGTGCAGGTATTTCTGATGTCTACTGCACCTGTGTAATACATGTACATAGATATGTATTATGTAGATTTTCATTTGCTGCATTGACTGTCAGCCCCCAAGGCCTTGGTCAGCCCCAAAAGGAAATAATGGCACAGACTTCTGAATAAAGGTATTAGTGTGAACCAGACTCCCTAAACATTGTTGGTGCAGGTAATTTTCAGTGTTACTTGCACCAATGCAGGTAGGCAGAAAAAAATATTTCAAACCCTGTACTTGAAACCATCAGAGACTTGTAACATATTTTGCCAAAGTCTCCTAAACTCCCTCCCTGCTGTCTAACCTTGAGTACAACTGATACAAATTGGCTGTGGAAAGGTCTGCTCTGTAGGGACAACATTTAGCAGACTTGGATTCAGCTGCAGGTAAATCTATACTGGTCCTTAAAGATAACAACACCTGCTCCTACAAGATTTCCCTGGGGCTTCATTCAAGATTCCCTGATTTCTGGGAGGCTTCTTTCCAGCAGCATTCGCAAACAAGAAACCAGGAGGCGTTTTTACCCACTCACTCACAGTCCGGTTTATCACCTGTTGTTCCTGTCTTCCGAGGGTTAGACATGCTTGCATAGTGCTGCTGAGGCTTGATGGCAGCCCGCCATCATCTACAAGTAATCGGAATTACCCTTTAATTGGAATTAAATGGTATGATGCAGTTCTTACAGCTGAGCACTTTAATATTGTCTCTAAAAAAAATTACAAGTACGCTCACCAGTGGAATGAACTGTCAATGACACCTTGCAGTGTCATCCTAAGATTACTCACATTTACATTGTAATTTCCCCTGGGCTCTCCAATTAAAGTTTGCTTGCTTACACATCTATTATTCTACTTATGCTGTCATGTTAGATAACCTTCATCCAGCTGGCTTACCCAGTAACCAATATAGATTCTTTACCAGATGGTTACCTTAGCATGATGATGGTTATTAAAGACTTTGCTCAGCTTAGATAAAGCCTCCAAATCCGAGAAACAGGTTGAGAGTAGTGTGCAGTGACTATACGAGTACTCGTCATGTCTATGTCTAACTGTTTTTGCAGTTGCTCATATATATGCAATATATAACTAACAATAATAAATGTTAGTTCAATAGTGATGCTGAAGAAAAGTGGTGGATATCACCCAGACGTAATCTATCCAGTAGTAGAATCAACTATAAGCATTGTTTACCTGGAAGTCTAACCTTCACCAAAGTATGTAGCTTAACTGTTCATTTTGTTCATTGAACTAAATAGATTTGAGATCACCTTCACTTTCCTTCACTTTGACTTGCTCACTCCCTTCCTTCACTCTCCCACCTTATTCTGTTCATCCACAACCTTAAGGAATTGCCCACTGACTCTGATTGACTATTATCTCTGCCATACTCTGACCTTTCTCCCTCTTGTGGCTTCATTATTCTTCCTTGGTCGCTGCCTTCTCTGCACGCTGTGTTTCTTTCCCCGGTAATTCTTCCTCTGTCCGTCATTCTTATTCATAAGTACCGAGTGATACGTGGTGATTCCTCAGTCTTTCTATGGACTCTTCTATAGGCAGTGAAGAATTGTTGTCCCGGCCTGACCTTAGCAAGTCAATGTTTCATTGATTTGTTGCAATGTTCTGTATCACTAATGAATGAATAGGTCTGATTTATTTGGCAACTAACCACAGCGCTTTATCTTAGAGTGCAGCAGCTTTGTCGGTTATGGTTACATTTACCTGTAAGCTCAACACACAGACTTTGAACTATTTGGGTTTTACTTTGTTTATTTGAGCCTTTGTTGATTCATGGTATACAAAATTGGCTTCGTACCCACTTTTCGTTGAGGTCATGAGGGAAGAGGTCTGGGACAGACAAAACATAACAAGATAAAGTCCCAACAAGTCCATAAAGATATACTGTTGTAACACTTGTTACCATTTTTTTTGCTCACTGTTTGTACGGTATAATTTATGAAACTTTAACTTTGTGTTTTTTCTTGCAGTTGGAGAACATGATCTCTCAGCATTTACTGGAGAGTTGTACGACACAGTGGAAATGGTGGCTTCTCCAGAATACAGGTCTCAGATGTTTTATTTTAACTTAACTTTTGGAAAATGGCGATTTTCCACCAGAAAAGATGGAAATTTTAGTTTCAGTGAACTGAAAATCATGTTTACTAAAAGCAACCAGAACCAAATTTGTTTCTTTGGTGTATTTAGATCTCCATTATATTAATTTTAGTGATGAGATAACTATACCTATATCACAGATTGAAAAATAATGGACATACAACATATACTCAGCTGATTATCATTCAGAGTATATTTTCCAAAATAATAGTCTCTTATGATGACAGATTGAAATTCAATAATTTATTGTGACCAGAGTAACCATACTTTCATCATTATGTTTCCTTTGTTTTACTAGTTTGTTGTACACTATTCTGTGACCAGCACATTATATCAACATTCAGTATTACACATGATGCTGTTTCTTGTTTAGATATCTACACAGTTCTAAATGACAATTAGTTTACAATACATTGCACTTACATGTAAGGACATTAGGTGTATTTTTTAATCTTTAAAGGCAACTGTACACAGACTGTACATTTTTTATTGTTATTACAAGGTTATATTGTTAAGTTTTCCACAAAGTACATTTCTGAAGTCATGCATCATATGCACATGTCTTCATGACGTGGATTCTAAGTCAGCTGTTGCACGTGCAAGTGATCCTAAGTTTTGGCATCAAGTTGAAATTTTCTACAAATGGGTGACTTCTAACCAGAGATATAGACTCATGGCATCTGTATCTGTGGCATGGTGTCTGTATACTTCACTACAGAATACACAACACATACATTATGATATGTCTGTCTGTCTACTAGAGAGACTCTAAATGCATCTTTCCTCAAAGTTACAGTGCGCAGAAATGTTCTGGCCACTACAAGAAACTTTCTACCTTACCGTTCAATGAGGGACAGGTATACATAGTAACCCCATTAAAACTGATTCTTCACAGACATAGTACTGATGGTCTCTAGTACATTTTTCCGATTATTTGTATTTCTTATAGTCATTCAGACAAATACAAAGGTACCTCAAAAACACAAATGTAATATTTCATGAATTTGTTCCTATACCATATATATACTATTCTCATTTACATATCAAACATTTGTGACTACCATGATTTATATATATTACATATTATACTGACAACACTTTGTCCTTTTATTCTTCATGGGAAGAAAGTTGAAATCATCGGAATCTGCTACATCTACTGAACAACTATCTAATATATGCTAAAACACTAGAAAGGTTACTTCAACGTCACATGAGAAAATATTTTCCTTTACATATTGGATAGACTAAGTGTGAATCTTCCTACTATCCCAACTGTTGTTGACAGACAAGTTGAGACAACATCTCAGTACTATACGTATCGAGCGTGGATGTCTCCAAACTACATTGTAAGGAGAGTAGATGCTGTTCCAGCAACCCGAATTTAGCTCCGTTCCTTAGAAGAGATAACTAATTCTTTTTTTTTCATTAAATGAAAAGAGACTGCTGATATCCCGTGTTTGTGGAGAGCCACAACTAGAACACATTTAAGATACCACCACACTTATTGAAAAGGTTAGGGCTCCTTTCACGTGTGAAGGGTTATAGTCCGGTCTCCGGCTCTTGAAGAGGTGATAGTCACCTGTTGTCAATCTCCATAAATAAATAAATGAAAAATCTCAACATCTGAGTTCAAAAGCTCGGCATGTGTCGATCTGCCACCTTTACGACCCGTTTGACGTCGGGCATGCTGTGTCGCTTGGCGCTGTTTAGACTGTCCAGTCTCTGCTGGCGTACGGTCATCTGGGCTGGCAGGGTGCCTCTTCTCCGGGTGGTGGCCTTGAAGCTGTTGGTGATCATTTCCGTACTGGTTCGGCTCAGCTCGGCCGCTCGGGAACTGTTCGAAGGGAAAACAGGTTAAAAAAAATACGGGTAGGGGCAAATGTGCAGATCTTGGCACACTGGCAACACCACATCCGTGTGTGTTCTCATTGGTGTTTGGACACTCAGTTACCCAGGGCCCGTTACACTACAATACAGTGAGGAAAGTCGTGTGAAGTGCTTTTCCCAAGGGCACAACATTGGGCATCTCAGGGAATCAAACCCGGGACCTCTAGATCTTCGTTCTGAGCCAAAAAATGGCCACCCGAGTTACCATTTGCCTACGGGCGGCCAACAGGTGGCCAATATAGACTCTCCTTGCCGCGGAGAATCTGCTTGGAGCCAGTGGTGTTGATGTTACCAAGCGGGAATGACGTATAACAGGCGGAAATGACGTACCTGCAGATGTACTTGACGTTCTTCCGGAAGCTGTCACTGACCAGGAAGTAGATGAAGGGGTTGACGCAACTGTTGACGTAGCTCAGGCAGAGGATGAAGTTGTACACACCTGCAGGGAATAGGGCATCCATTTCAGAAGTGTCGTTTGTACAAGTCTAATAGTCTAAACCATGCTTCAATGGGTTGCTGGAAACTAGTTAAAGCTAGTAGAAATTGGGCAAATAGACTGAATAATGTAGCTGAGGGGTTAGCGGGCTCAGGATGTGGATGCAGTTTGCAACCTGTTCTACTCTGGTCGGCTAACTCCTCTGGCGTAATATCAGTCTATTTGACGCCATCGCACTTAGCGAATACACAAAAGGATAAGATGAGTAGACGTTGATAACTGTCCATGTGAGTCAGCCGTTACCAGTCTCGACAGCTTGTGCTGACCCATGCAATGAGCTGAATGAAAACAGAATGCAATATAAATATCATCAGGATCTTCCCTCACCCATGAGTACTTTGGTGGGCGGCAGCTCGGCCACAAGGTTGACGATCTGTCCGACGTAGAACGGCAGCCAGCAGACAACAAACGTGACGATCACAGCCAGGATCATCTTCGTCACCTGCGCGGCAAACATAGCTTTATTTTGTAAAATAAAGGCTTTTCTGCAGTGATATTGAAACTAAACGTAGCCCCAAGCCTTTGTAGGATAGGGTGGTATTTGGGAAATGGAGTCAATCCCTCCAGAACTTCCTCAGCATATACATGTACTTCCCCAACCAAAAGCCAGATATTTAGGCACCGATTTACCGAGTTGAACTGAGGAAAGTGTGTTCCGTCCATCAACTTTGAGCGGTAACCATCTGATGGTTGTCTAAATGATGATTGCGCACGTACTTCCCAGTAAGGAGCATTAATCGTCCTGTTTTGGATTGGATGAAATACGAAATAGGATAACTATAGCTGAGTCTTTTTTGTGCTTTTTTCTAATCAACATCCAATAGCGAAAACTCATCCAGACCAATATTAGAAACGCACACGATCTTCCATTACCGCACCTTATGCTTCCTCTTGGTTTCCTGTTGTCTTCTGGAGGCGGATAACTTCATGTCCCCCTCAAAGATGAGCTGGTTGGCCTGTCGGCCCAGAGCCTGGGCGATCTTGACGGAACAGATGGTGATGACGACCACGGGCAGAAGGAAGCCCAGGATGATGCAGTACACAATCCAGGCCCGGTCCCAGCTGTCATCCGGCCACTGTAGCATGCATCCCGTAGTATCTGTAACAACACGATACATGCCATTATGTGACGGTTGTTACCTCCTTTTGCTTTTCTGTGTTTGCTTGTGTTAGGGGCATGCTAGCCTGGTTACCAAATATATATAGCTAGGGGCATGCCCCGGTGTGCGATGGGCCACAGTCTCCACACTCTAAAGTAAGGAGTTGGTGATATTCTCTACAAATCATCCGGAAGGGGCCTGGCGAACCCTCTTATTAGCCTCACTGCTAGCACCGTGCTGGTTTGGCAAACTTGGATATATATTCAGCCAAAACGAATAAATAGATAAAATGTGTTAGTAGTTACTTTATAATAAAGTGGAGTCACAGGAAGTGGGGAAATGGTGTAACCGCAGACTGACAGGTAGGTCGAATTGAGAGTCATGGCGGTCTCCCTACAGACTTACTGATGAAAGTCTGCACCCCGGCGAAGTACGGGACGGGGCAGATGATGAGGCAGGAGGCCAGCCAGATGCAGAGGCAGGTGAGTTTGGCACGGCAGGGCGTCCGCCAGCGGAGGGACTTCATCGGGTACACGATGGCAAGGTAGCGGTCCACACTCATAGCCTGTACAATAAAGACACGGCAATGGCATGAAATGCATTAAGCATAATGTACAACAAGAGACGTGGCAATGGTATGGGGTACATCAATATCATAAGGTAATGGTCAACACTGGTAGCTTGTTCAACTTACAAGAGATGTGCCAATGGCATGAGGTACAGGCATACGGTAACGGTCTGCGCTCATATCTATAGCCTGTTCAACACGAGACATGTCAATGGCACGGGGTGCATCAAGCTACCGGTCTTCATTCATAGCCTGTACGGTCAGCAAGAAGTTTTACATATGCTGTAGCATATGTTATGAATGCAAAAAAAATCTTTATTTCAGTTCTTAAAAAGCAAAACTATCCGCACTTTCTTTTAGCCTAATGGACGTGAACACACATTGCTCTGAATTGGACTGGTGAAATACTCTAATCCTTAATAGATTTTTAAGGCGGCCTCCTCTCTTGACAAAAGTGGTAACGCTAACAAGACTACGGCTTTCTATGCCCTGTGGGGAGTTGAACCTTTGTCAAGTTTACTCTTTAATTCCAGATAAAGAGCTGAGCAATCATCGGCATCCGCTCCCGCCGGAGTTTGTTGAGGGTTACCGCACCCTAATTGAACGCCCTTTACGTTTGACATCCTCGGCTCATCGTCGGTAGAGTGCGGTTTTGCCCGGTTAAGTTCGGTCATTCCACCCAAAAGACGAAGAACGAGCTGCAGAGATTGCTTTCGCGCCGTTTCACTCGGCCTCCAGGTATCGCCCCATCGAGAAAACCATAAAAGCCGTCCATTCATTCCGGCTTGAGAAAATAATTTTACGTAACGGTCTCCGCAGATGACTGTAATACAGCAGGAAGTGCACTGAAACTGATGATATGTCAGGAGAGGTTTCTCCGAAATCATTGATAGCGCGAATTAATATTTGTATCTGGCTTATCATCAGGAATTCCACTCTGTTAATGCCATGGCGCCATTAGACGTTGCTGCCTGCTGCCTAAATATTAGTTTTTGCTCCAATATTTGTTTTTATCTTTGCGTCCGCTTTGGCGGGCAAGCTAAGAATAATCAATGTCTACTTGCAAAATGTACATTAGTTTTCACTCCGTATAATTGAATTTCGAGATAGTGGAAAGAAAGCATTCCAAAATTTACACGCGTGAGCAGAATTTAAGAATAACCATAACGTTACAGAGATAAAACTTTTATCAACTCCATGAAATACCCACAAGTAAACTTTGCAACATCCCATTTAATGTTGATGCGTAGAAAATAGCCTTCCAGGCAGTTACTTTCTCACTTAATCTGCTCCAGGCGCGGATTTGTCTCGTACTTCATCTCAAGCGAAGTATAACACTTCTCGCCGGCTGTAAAAGTTGATAAAAAGATCCACAGAGAACTTGACGCTTGTGTTCTGCCGCCGGAATGTCTGGCTGGTTTAACGCTGGGTAGCTTCAAAGCCAGCGAACACCGTCCTGTGGTCATTACCGTAACCCCTGCATGACCCTCCGGTTTTAAATCACGAAAGTATAACAATCTCATTTCAAACGCTTACAGGTTTTATTACCTAGCGGGCTCCGAAAAGGGCAGAGAAGGGCGTCGCGCCAGCAACGGTGATTCTCATGTTGTTAATCAGACCGCGCGACAATCATTTTCAAAGAACAACTTCTACGGTTCAAGAAAGGGCAGGGATCCCACAGGATCAATCCGTTCGTCTCCCAAATTCGCCATTTGAGCCCCGTTGGGTGCTGAGAGAACCACAGCCCCGGAACGCTCATTGGAAACTAATTGTGTTGACCTCTGAGGTTTTTTCCACTACCGACTGGGACAATCAGCCCCTGTAACTACACCCTGCTTCATTTTAAGTGTGATCATGAGGGAGAAAATTGGATACAACATTGAGGATTCATGGCTTTGCTTTTCACGATTCTATAGCGCCGCTTCGTACCATTATTAGCTGGTTAAAGGTCTGGTGAGTATATAGATAGGGAGGTCTATAAATACGCTCCTGGCAGAGCCAATTTCTAACCACTTATTTTGCCCGACATGGGTTTATTTTCAGACTGCGTCGTAACTTCTTTCGCCTGTCAAAAGCACTGGTGCACAGCGTGACTCAAGCTTAATAAAAGCATGGTACTTCGGGTACTTTCGGGTATTGAACATGTGCTATTATTTGCAGTGATATAGTAGACAATGGTGAACTTCTAATCGAACACGGGCCGTTTGCCGTAATATAGAAGTGAGTGGTCACGTAATTAGAGAATGCTAGTCAGCTTATTAAACATTCGTGGATTTCAAACCGGGATCTAGAGCTGCCGCGTCCTTGAGTAAGTAGACGGACAAGTACTAAGTCAAGCTTGAACGTGTCAAATCATGTTAGTTCAGTTTAACGTTATAAAAATATAATCTTACATTCTTCGCAACAACATAAAACAGACGGTTTTGTTCCGTGTACTTACCCTTGCCATTACCAGTAAAATCACCCAAACGCCTAGCCGCTCCCCAATGTCCCACTCGGCCGTGGAGTTGAGCCGTTTCCAACTCATTTGACCGACAAGGCGACAACGATCCAAACTTTCGATCTACTAGTCGACAATTAGGGTCGATGACTGCTGAGCCAACCAAACTACATGTACAATTTGAGAATATAGCAATTTATGTAATAGATCCTGCTTTATTGAAGCACTGCCATGTACTTGTATTCCTCGAAAAGCGCTATTATCATGCGCTATTGGAAAGCCCACAGTGACCCTATTAGACCACATTAGCCTGCTATGGTCGGTTATGCGGCCAAAACTGCTCTTCCGAAATCAATTTTAGCCCTTCCAATTCAAACCACGGATGTACATCCGACCCCAAGTGGTAATGCGTGTGTAGAAAGGAGTATTCTGCAAGTTTAACTGCGGAGCTTACATATTGCTATCCGGTAACGCATGAAGAGTCTCAACGCTACATGGTACTTGTGTTGTGAATTCAGAAAGTCCCACAGAGTTCGACTTTTTCATAAATCGCATTATGAGGATAAGCCGGCTGGGAAACTGGGACACTCAAGAAAGATTTTCGCTGGCTTCTATCTGATAGACTAAGTGTTGTTCGTCCATCGTACATCAAACTTTCAAAGAAGACTTTAGTCTCGACTTTAGTCTTCATTGTGATTCCGGGCGAGGAGCAATTTTGGAGCATGCAAAACACATATATGCGCGATTCAAATGCTCTCAGGGAGGGTGTGTTGGCTATGGCTCATGCAAAATAAAGCAATGATGGTTTATCTAAAAACAGAGCAGAAAATGTCAAACATTAGGAGGTAAAAATCGTGATTTCAGCAATTCAAGAAGCGGCGTGAAAGTGCTTCGATTTGAATGCGACGCGAAAGCACCATTGTGCATAGTGCACTGCTTCTGCACTTCGGATTAAAGTTGGGATGCATGGAGGAACTTTTAACAAAAAAAACTTTAAAAACGTCGATTTCTTTTCTAATTCTCCTCTGAACTAAAGGTGGTAAAAATCCTTTACGTCTTAGCTTTGTAATATATATAATACGGACCATGAACACAGTATACGTTACTCTCTTCACGACCTTGGAAAGCTAGACATGTCACCTTCTTTGTCATTGGTTGTCAAGCGTGAGCGTGGCTATGCTCCAAGTCAGACGTTCTCCTCCGTCTGCTCATAATGTATCAAACAACTGATGGGCGTATTGTGACGGGACTGGGCGTGGCGAACGACATGCTTCACCTTCTGATCAGTCCTTGAGGAGCCGAAAGTCCTCGACTGAATACAGAATCACAGGGAATCATCCTTCCCATCCATTTATATGTCAGATGCTACAGGTTCTTCGTTTCGTTCGCCGCACAATGTATTAACATCGGATTCGGCAGTAATTGACCTTATCTCTTGGGGAATACTGATCAAATGGGTAGATTGCTGTGGAGCTTTAGAGAGGACCATTATTGTCAACTTACATATACGTCGGGGAAAATTGCACATAAAAACGGCAAATGTAGATATTTTTCTTTATATGTATCTGTGACTACAGACCAGATCCTTGCGTTAGAGATGTGCATGCTCCTCGATTTTACACCGTGGATTTTACGATTTACATAAGACGCCCAAATTGGAGGTTTGAAAAAAAAGTTACATGTCTACAATAACCGATGTGTCTTAGCGCATGTGCAATGTTATTGGCCACAGGTGGTAATCATAAACAGAGATTAGAGCCACTCATATGAAACTTAATGGAAATTATAAATCAGAAAGATGGCAATTCTTCACATGTCGCGCCTCTAGGCCGCATGCTGCGGTGCTGGCGACAATATCGTATCAGCCAAAAAAGCTACTGTTGTGAAGTACGATCAGTCAATAAACGAATGTGAAGGACATACCAATCAGGTATGAGAATCTATGTGTGTCTGGCACTTGTTCACACATTGTCAGAGGACCAATAGTATTATGAACCCGTATAGATAAGTGTGAAGGTGGTGTGGAACATGGCAAATGTAAGGATGCTAACAACGGTCATCCATCAGAATCTGTCTTAAAGCACTGCCACCACGTACTCCTCTACCTGTGTCAGTCCTGACGTCTGCGGAGTAGGTGGGTCTCATAAGATGGACACACTATACTTCCCAAAGCTGTATAGAGATTGCCTACTGTCCTACGGGCCAGCGCTAGTTGTCAGGGTAGTAGTCAGGCTTATTCTAAGCTACCTTCAGAAAGCCTATAATTATGGGTTCACCACACCACGAAGTGGTGGTGAACCCATATTGCTTTTTCTGATGTTTCTTCTTCTTCTTCTTCTCCTGCCATTTTTTAAATGGATTCAGCTTCTTCATTTTAGGGCCTAAGGTCCTGAAATTTGGTATGGAGGTACAGTGGGCAAATACCCCTAGGCGTTTTTTAAATTTTTGTGATACAGGCTTTTAGAATGGTTTTATTTGAGTTTTTTGGCTGTGTTATAGCAAATGTATTACTGTGTTAGTGTGCCGTGTTTACCACGTCTGGGCATGAGTCATCACA